TATTTCTGATTCTGATTCCTGGTTGATGGGACAGGTGTTGTGAATGAAACGGTGTCCAGGTTTTAAAGAGCTCCTGTGTGTCGCTGAATGTGTGCATTGATGACTGAAAGACATCTTCTGCTTTCATTTATCTGTTTACTACAGTGTGTTGAATTCATGTTAATGTGTATTTAAAGACATTTTGATTAGTGCAAAAAAAATGCAGGAGGGAATATTAAAAAAAAGTAATCAACCAAGACTTTCGCGACCCCCATCCAGTACCTACGCGGACCCCCTAGGGGTCCGGACCCCCTGTTGAAGACCTCTGGGCTATAGCAATAATATTTACCTAATAAAATTCATCTGCAGTCCAACAACCAACTGATTTATGAACAGCTATGTGAACTTTTTGCACGCTTTACTTAATTTCCAAGAATTAACAGGAATCACAAAATAAACTGACCCTGTGTCTTATATTTTATAAACATGTTTTTGTTTAAAGACAGTGAGTTTGGTGCAGGTTTGCCTGATGAGGTGAGAGGGAAAACACGGTGAGATTCAAAGATCTGCCTGACGCCCTCAGAAAGACTACTGTAGCTCTCAAAAGAGTTTGAACTCTATAGAGAAGATAGTGTACATTAGAAAAAGAATGTAAGACGCTAAAAGAAGCTCCAAAGAAACAAGATGTCACCTGCACAAGTGGTGTGCAAGAAGGAAACATTTCCCTCTCTAGCATGTTTGTCACCAAGATAGGAAAATAACTTGAAGGTCATAACAGAGGTCATGTTTGAATCAAACACAGCGTTCAAGGAAAATAATGGTTTAGGGATGCTTCACTCTATCATGTATTATTCCAAGTATCAGAGGATGAAACAAGCTGTATATGCTATATTTTAACATTTTTATTATTTTATGTAGAGAAGATATACTAAAATTTAAAGGAAACCACCATTTTTGACAAACCTGAAAGTAAGAATCACTCTGAACCTTTTCTTCCTCTCTGTGTCCCTTCATGCTTCTCAGTGAGCAGAGTATCTGCCAGGCCCGGGCCTCCGTCATGGTCTATGATGACACCAGCAAGAAGTGGGTCCCCATCAAGCCGGGCCAGCAGGGGTTTAGCCGCATCAACATCTACCACAACACTGCCAGTAACACCTTCAGAGTGGTGGGCGTCAAGCTGCAGGACCAGCAGGTGACAAGAAGAGTGACATTTATTAGACTGTAGGAGGCCTGAACACATTTAGGCTGTCCTGGATTCACACTGAGAGGTTTCTCTAACAGGGAAAAGTGTAGATATTTATGTTGTAGATGTGTTAATAGATAAACAGATATAAAAGTGTCTGTGTGTGATGACTAAACTAAAAGAAAACATTAGTCCAGGTTTTTTTGTAGTGGTGGAGATCACTTTTTATTTTCATTCATTAATTTGACTAGTTAGACTGATGATGACTGGTGCTTGAAATAAGAAACTTAATGTTGGGTAAAAATTATTTTAGAGAGAGAAAACAAATAGATTATTTACATACCAATCAAACCCATTTAGTTGTTTTGTTGCAGCACTGATGCTGTTTCATTTTTTGTGGTTAACATTAATCATTATTTGGGTTTCCTGACCTCCCCTGACTCGCTTCGTTCTTTTTTTTTTTTTCTTTTTTTTTGCAGGTGGTCATCAACTATTCAATAGTGAAGGGTCTCAAGTACAACCAAGCCACCCCGACCTTTCACCAATGGAGGGACGCCAGGCAGGTCTACGGCCTCAATTTTGCCAGCAAAGAGGAAGCCACCACCTTCTCCAACGCCATGCTCTTTGCCCTCAACGTACTCAGCGCTCAGGACGGAGGTGGGCTTTACATTCAGATAGGCTCACTACTGATGCTCTGATGTTGCTGTTTTTTAAATTTTCCACAGATTTTATTATATTTTCTTTAGGTAGTATCAGTTTGCACAAAACAAAATAAAGGCCATCATGTTTTTATCACTTATTAGGGACTTACACGTTTATACCATTTGAAATAATTGTATACAGTCCACAAAAAATATTTTTGGAAATACTTACAGCAATTTTATTCTCCTGAATAGGACAGAAATTAAAGCAGAGGTTGTTTCCTAAGGAGGTGCGCCTTAACTCATTTATTATTACTGTGACAAATTTCTCATCATGATAGGAATTTTGATTTATTGTCTAAATAACAAACTTGAATAAATAATTCTTAAAAACTCAGAAAAAATTAGTGATTTGGAGGGGATTGACAACCTCTTAGAATATGATTAATAGTGTCTACTGTGGGATGTTTAGTGATATAAATCACTTTTTTTATGTTACTGGTGTTCTGAGAAAGCCTATTTAAGATTTTTATGTTTGTTTTTTTAAGAAGAGTAGTTGTGATTGTGGGGTTATGGTCATCCTTCGCGTGTATTCCCTAGTCCATTAATTTTGATTAAGTTTCTTAAAGCTTTAGTCTCTTTTATTTCCTGTCAGCTATATTCTAAGACCTTAAGCGTAGATCAATGAAGGTTTTAGTCCATAACTGCTGCCTGCTTCATGACACAGCATCCTCTGCAAATGGACCTTAGATGCTGACCTAAAGAGTTCAGCAGCCTATTCAAGCGTTATAATAGTGGTCAAAGTGCAGCTGAGTTTTGTAACAGTGCCCTCTAACAAACTCTAAATAGTGTTATTAACTTTGACATTAGAGAACTGAGGGACACTACAGCATTGATAACATTGAAAGAAGCTGTGTTTCACTGGGAGCAATCAGGCTTGACGGGAACTGTTACTTGCACTGCTCCTGTTTGTCTTTGCTTTATGAAACATATCTTGTCCCGTTTGAAATACTAGTCCTTCAGCATTGAATACCCATGTGAGATGTGCAATTTGTCCTGCAGTACTCTCTCTGCACGTCGGAGTTAGTCCCAAAGGGAGAAACAGGCAAGTATAAAGTGTGGAGCAGCAGAACAAGACAGAGACAGAATGACTTTCACAGCTTGCCACTCATTTCCCCAGCAGCAGCAGCAGCAGCAGTAGTAGTGTGTGAGTCTCCCACCGTCCCCCTCCAGCCTGTTAATTTGAATGAGTCATTGAGAAGATCTCCCCTGGGTCCTGTGCTGGAGAGCGGACCTTTTCATCTGCTTAATGACACGGGACGGGGGTGCAGAGTGGCTTGAGTGGCAGCAGCCAAACACAAGCTCACCAATAGATGAGAGGATGAATGTATTACACATGTATGCACTATACAGAAAGACCAACATTATTACTTATATTTTAATAGTTTCATGTTTGCAAAAAGATGAAAATCCCACTCACTGACCTGGCATAGGTGATATATTAGGTGAAAGTTATAAGGAAATTGTTTTCTTGCTGTCAAAGCTGATGTGTCTTCTACTCCCTCTATTGGTGAGGGAGGGTTTAAGCATGACCTCTTTGTCCAAAATTAGAGGAAATTCTGCAGTTTATGATGGATTAACTTCTGAAGCTGAGCTACATAAACCCAGACAAACATTATTTTGGTCTTCTTACTAGCTCTGACATCATAATTGTTTTAAGTTGATTAAATACAACAGAAGTGGACATAAAAAACATTGTTTTGTAAAACCTTTTATAAGGTTATCTTCTATAAATGAACAGAAGCTTTTTTCCCTTTCAAGCTAAATAGGATATTAAATAAAAACAGACAAAAAAAAAGGTGGTAAACTTAACTGGTTCAATGTCATTTAGCAGACATTTGTAAAGTAGCATCTATGTTCTAGGATAGTACAGTATGGATTACATAGTATCAAAAATCAATTTTAAATATTCATAAATATATAGTATTTACTACGTAAAATGTACTTTATATAAACTATATTTATTACATATAAATGTTAAACAATTAAAACAAAGTACGTTCCCACATAGCGATGATAAAAATCTTCTGTAATCTTATGTAAGGATTCTTCAAATATCATTAATGTGATATATATCTGATGTTCAAAAATGTATCTATATCTTATCTCAGAAACCTTTATGATTATTTTACAATTTAAAGCATTCAGGATGTTTATTCAACTCATTTTTCCTCTAAAATTGGGAAGTTTTATCAAATAAAATAATGAACTCTTAACATTATAATACAATAGCTTGCTTAGTAGCCCTGATGAGTGAGATTAATCTGAAATAATGCACAGAAGTTGGACGGCTCTCTGCTGCCTACAGACAAACCCGACCTTTTGAAACGTTAACCAGAGATGCTCGCTACTCGGCTGCTGCTGCTGGTGTCAGTTACATGAAGATGACAGGGGATACCGTTGGCCGAGTAGAGGAGGGAGGGAAGAAAGGCAGGTGAGAAGAGGGAGAAGCGTGGGGAGGGGAATGATGGACGGGGACAATGAAGATGACGAAGAGAGTAGGTAGCTTAAGGCAAGAGATGGTCAGAGGAGAGTGCGTTTGTCAGTGTCTCTGTCTCTGCCACGGCCGCTTTCTCTTCTTCAGAATGTCCTGTAGGTAAAAACATGTCTGCTATGTGTTCCTGTCTGGGTTAAACCATGCTTTACTTTTTTATTCAACTTTATCTGCATTTGTGTGTGCTGAAAATCTATGGTTATTGAAAGACAAAGTCTAGAGTAAATAGATCTATCGAGACGCTCACCAAGCATGTCGCTGCCTAGCCTAAACTAATTGTAGAACCATGGTTATTGGTCTTGATATGCAGTAGCAGCTGTGGTACTTAATTATCTACAAGGTAAATACAAACATATTAAAAGTGATGCAGTGCTGTAGAGCACAAACAGCCAAATAAATAAAATGTTAAAACACCTTATTTTTGATTCAACAAAGACTTCTGTTTAGGTAGAGATGTAGAGACAAATTTAAGGCTCTTAAACTGCATCAGACACAAGTGAACTATAGGGACACAGCTGGTTAAATTGGGCAGAAAAGTTCAATTTTGTTTTATTGATCTGCTGTGTGACCAGCTGTATAACTATATGTGCTTTTAAAACTATTACATAGGATTATTTTCTTACAAATACAGAAAGCTGTGTCATCTTATGTGTGAAAGACTTATTTAAATACAAATTATCAGGAAAAACAAGCTTTTTAATAAAGGTATCATTAATCTTCAGTTATGTAAGTGACAATACTGAATTTTAGGTCAGGGTTGATAAAAAACTCAAGACATTCCTATTTATATTCATGCCTTTAGATGGGCTGCTGTACGAAGTTATCAACCTGAAACTTCAACTTTACAACTGCACTCAATCACACATTGTTCAAGTTTTCTTTTTATGTAATTATCCTTTTTCTTAAGCATGTATTTCAAAATGTTTGTCAACAGGATCAGAGTTGCAAGTTGCTCTTCCCACATCGTCAGATACATCATTTTTCATGTATTTTGAAGTGGGAACACACCCCTCCTGGAAAATTGAGGTTTTATGATTCCTACCTTTTCGCTGCTGAAGGCTTTCCAGGAGGGCTGCACCTTTGAGTTTCTGATTATAGATATATTAACTGTCATGGCTAAAGAAAAACATTTTTCCACAAATAATCAAATAACTTTTGTTAGCTCTTGCAGAGCATCAGCAGGCATTCAGAAACAGAAACCACTACGTCATCAGCATACAACCTTATTTTTTTATTTGTTTAAGGGACTGCAACAGAATAAATCCTTCAAATCATTAAAATAATTTACCTGGCAATATAAAATAAAAGAGAAGATAGAATATACTCTCATTCACAAGTGTTTGCATGCTGTCTTAACTTTATTTAAATATGTATCAGACCAAAAAAAGAACTGTTTGGAAACCAATTAACAGTTAATATGGTACACTTAAGGGAATAGTTAAGTATCAGGGAATAATGGGGAAACAGGGCTGAACATTCAACAGAAAACAAAACACATGTCTGATGTCTCTGTTTCCTAATGTCCCTTAAACTAAAACTTTAGATGTAACATTAAGAGGGTCAAGTAAACTTAAAATCAACTTGATTAGAAGAAAAACCTTGTTTTGAAGTTTCTGTCCTTAATAGATGGCAGCACATGAGCAGAAATATAGTAGCAAACCTCTTTGTTTGTAAGGTAAACACTGGAAATACAGATGTCTACAATCAGGTTAAAGCATCTGACACCAGGTTTGACTCATGTCTTTAGTTCAGCCTGTGCTATTTTTGGATCTATGTTATTTGATCAGTGGTTGCCATTAGTACTGTAGCCCCGCCGAAGCAAAGCCACTTCCATCAGAGTGGGAAGCGTTGGAGAGAGTACTGACCCTGAAAACAGCCCGATTGTGGAGCTGTAACTCTATTATGTAAAGCGCACTTTTCATTAGACAAAGCAGGCTGGGGTCTTTAGTTCGGTCCTGTTTCATAGCTTTGTGTTAAAAAAAATCCATGAGATCTCTAAAGGGGAACTGTGAACTTTAAGATCCATTAATCACAATCAGACTTCTTCCTTTAAAGAAGCATTTCCTTATATAGGACAATATTTGCAATGGCTCATTGGAGTGACATTTAATAATGTTGCTAAAGAGGGTTCAGTCAAATCAGAGGCTTTGTTGTAAAAAGATGATGAATCCCTCATTTCATTGTAATCCCTCAGCTGAAGTGGCTTTTGCACCCATCTTATCGTGTCTTGAATTAATCACACATCCTATCTGCTTCTTCATCTGCGGATCTGCGTAATGTGTTAAAGGGATTACATTGCAGGCACCCTGCAGCACAAACTTTAAAAGGAGGAGCAGCAATAAGGAGGAGACTCGTTGATAGTATCTTAGAAACTCTAGTAATTCTTGCCGCCTGTGAAGGTATTCATACCGACTTTTGTCATGTCACACTCCCAAACTTCCGTGAGTTTAATCGGGATTAAACACTTTACTTTTTTTATAGTTAGTATTATGCCTGGTATGATGGTTATGTCTTTGCAGTTTGCATGTGTTCTCACAATCATGCACTGCTTTACTTAGATTTCACAATTATATCCACCATCTAAAATCTCAGTAGAAGAAGCAAAGGTTTGTTGTTGTGATGTAGAAATCCTGACAGGGGTAGTGAATATCTTGCAAAATTGTCTCATGCTGCTGCAGAAACTAGAGAAATAATCCGTTATGAATGATATGCAAAAGCGCACATTTCTGTGGTGTTTAACTTGGCTTCAAAAGAACAAGATGACTCAATCTACTTTCATTTTAGCTGTGCATTAATAATTATTCTGTTTTTATCAAACAGTACCCCACAAGAAGGGGATAAAATTGTTAATTCCTAATTCATTCTCTGTCACTGGGTGGTTAATTGTCTTAACTGGCACTAATTATAATGAACATTAATGCGCTGGTAATGGATTATTAAGTACAGCTTTGCCTTATCTGTGCTTCTCTTTTTGCCTTTGCTTTTGTGAATTGCTGCAGGTCCAGCTCTCCAGCGTCAGGTTCAGAACGGCCCCACGTCAGATGAGATCGAAGCTCAAAGAGCAAGGTGAGACATGGTTACTTAGAACACAACAGGAACTTGGTAAAGAAGTGATTATGTCTGCAGCTTCTTTTTTAAAACATGTTTCAGTTAAAAACAATTAACCAGGCTAGTGAAAAATAGCTACTATGCACAAGTAGAAGAAAAAGGCAAATGGAAAAAGTTTGAAAACCAATAATCGATAAAAAGAAGCAATGATCTAACAGTTCTGCATGGTTGTTATGCTTAAATGCAGGAATTTGGAATCTGATTAAATTAGTTTTTACTCATTTAGAGCGCTTGGAATGTGTTCCATCCCATTTACTAATTTGGTGAAGTAATTTTTTAAAGTATATCAGACATCAGCAATCATTTAGACCCTTCATTCTTGATGTAATGTGATGATCATCCGTCTCTGGAGGTTTTTTGATTTTTTTCAGTTATTTATGGAGAAGCTTTCAGATTAAGACTAAACTGAAACAGTGATGCCAAACCAAGACACTAACACTGGATTTTAAAAGTGTTTCAGCTTTACCTGATTGATAGTTCTTTATCACTCTGACCGCTTATTTCATTTGTTCTCTAACTAGACATAAATAAACAGCACCAACATTCACTTTGCCTTGCATTCATGTAATATTTAGCTACTCTCTCCTTATAAGAGGAAAACACAGAAAAAACAGAAAGACAGAGAAGACTGAGCTGCTGCAAAGAAAGCAAAGATTCACAGCTATATTTAGAACTCTGCAGCAATGAGGTGGCATTTAGGGCTGACATCTGAAATATTTACAGCTCAAAGATGAACGGACGGACTAAGTCTTTGTTTCCGTTTTGAACCTACTTCTGCTTTGCTAATTGGCTGATTCAAACGCCAGGGCTTAGAGGAACACATACTGTAGAAAGAGAGTTATAGCTCAGCCACATCCAATATCTGCTGAACCATTCCCAGGATTAGGGCTGTGATTGTGGCAGGAGATGTGTGCGCATACACCACGTGTTTCAGATCTCTGCTGCTGCAGCTCTGTTGTCTCAGTCCTTCTCCTGTCCAACTAACAGCTGGATAACTCTGCTTTCTCCCCACGAGCTGTCTCCTTCCCTTCTCTCCTGGGGTGTGACATTCATATGCTTTGTGCTTTACAAAAGGGCGAATACAGGAAAAAGACTTCAATAGAGGGAGAAAATAAATGCATTTTCATGAGAAAGCACTTTGAAATAAGGGGAGTGTTGCAGGTTAGGTTTTCTCTGTGATTAAAAGGGAATTAAATGATTGATTTATGATATTAAAATACATTATTATTAAAGAACCAACATGAGTATGCTGCAGAATTATACTGAATGTGCCTGAATTTTATTTAAATACCCAATCTGACCAAGAATGGTGCATTACACTCCCCAAAAAAAACATCTAATTGCTTATTTTTATGAGTTGCATTTCAGCTTCAGGGAAAGTTCCTGATAATTCAAAACGTAGTTTGGTTTTCTCACGGAGAAATGAGCAGTTCTTCGACATAATGTATGACTCAACTGCACACTCAACAAAAAGAATCTCGCCAGTGAAACATGGTGGTGGAAGCATCATGCTTTGGGATGCCTGCTTTGCAGAGGCTAGGACTGTGATCTGAGTTGAAAACTAATGGAGTTAATTATTATAGTAAAAAAGCTTTAAATGTAGCCAATTATTGAGACGACAGGATGATGAGTTATTTGGATGCTTCTGTAAGTTTGTAAGTGCTGAGCAGAAAAGAAACTGCATTTCTAACAGTCCTCTGCTTTTTAGAAGCTTCTCTTTATGTGTGAAATGGTTTTCTCAGCTACTTCAGTTGTTAATCAAACATTTAATGATTAGATTGTTCTGATGCTGAGTGAGCAGCTGTTTTTGTTTCTTTCTTCTTTTTATTTTGCCTTCAGGCAAATGATGGAACAGCAGCAGCAGATGCAGGCGCAGATGGAGCGGGAACGACGGTCCTCTAACTCAGGTAGACACACACAAACATCCCAAGATTAAGCCGTCGTTAACAGCATCCTGAGGCAAATAAAAAGTTTCCTTTCTGTTTAATTGTTTCCAGGTTCTCCTTTCCAAGGCCACCCTGCTGTGCTCTCCGTAGCCCCACCTGTAGTACCTCCACCTGTAAACATGGGCGGCCCTCCCCCTCCTCCACCGCCACCGGGCCCCCCGCCGCCATCAGCAGCGGCCCCTCAGCCTCCTCTACCTCCACCGCTGCCTATAGGAGGCGGTAACCAGGGAGACGAGGCCCCTGCACCGACAGGTCTCGCTGCAATGATCGCTGGAGCCAAACTACGCCGTGTCCAAAGAGTAAGAACTCAGCTTGCATTCAAATCTTCAAAGGATTTTATACCAGAGTTATATCTTCTTATCTCAACTAGTAGCTTTCTAAGGTGTTTTTGAAAGTAACAAACAGTTGTTTACCTGTTCTTTCTCCATGTCAGTCTGAGGACAGCTCTTCAGGTAGCAAAAATGAAGCCAACCGAACAAGTGGTGGTAGTGGAGGACTAATGGAGGAGATGAACGCCCTCCTGGCACGAAGGTCAGAGCAATCAACTCAAAAGCTCCACAAGACTATGTTCTATTCAAACAGTTGCGCAAAAACAGCCTGAACAGTCCCCCCCCCCCCCCCCACCGTTTCTGTGTTTTTTCTTTCCTTTTGTTCAAAATTATTTTTTTTAGTAAACAAAAACTATAGTCATTTATTTATTTATGTAAAACATGTCATTCTTAATTAAGGCTTCTTCTTTCCCCCAGAAGGAAAGCGGCTTCAGAGAAGCCTGACGACAGCCAAAATGTAAGTGGATTGGAAAACCTAATGGAATAAAATTGTTTCAAACTATCAAAGCATTATACTTGAAGTAATGACATTGATACAGCCATCGCTTTTTTTTCCCCCACGTCTGTATTAATTTAGGATGATGCAAACTCTCCTTCGCCCAATACTCGGGGTGCGCAGAATTCCACAGGTAGGAGAGCAAAGACCAGGAAAGCACAAACTACACAGTAACATATCATGTGACCCATGGGAGAAAGTAGTCTATCTGTGATTTCCAATGAATTCCTACCAGTTATTTGATCCAGTTTTGCTTTTGTCAAACAGATGGTGCGAAGAAGCCCTGGGACCGAGCTAACTCTGCAGACAGGTCAATGGTTTCGAGGTGAGAGCTGGAAGCTTTGCACTTTATTTCACTAGAGCTTTAAGGAGAGCAGCAGTCAGTTAGACAGATGCTTTTCTAAAAATATCCCCTTTTTATCATGCAGGTTACGAACAGCAGGAAGTGTCAGTGACTCCGACTCGTTAGATCTTGATAGGATGAAGCAGGTGAGGTGAAGAACACTGCTCAGTCATCTCGGCATGCAGAAAACACTCATACTATATGTACACATCTGTTTTGTGTAAAACAGTATGTCCAATGTAGGAAAAGAGAAGGCTGATTTTTCTGCTATCGCTCTACAGGAAATCTTGGATGAAGTTTTTCGTGAACTGCATAAAGTGAAAGATGAGATCATTGATGGTATGTTTTCTTTTCCCTTCATAACTGTAAACAGGAATGTCTTTATCCGTCCATGGAATATGCCTTTGCAGGTTATGTGCAGTTGTAACCACTAGGTAGCACTAGATTGTAAGAAAAATAAATATGAAAAGTGCAATAACCTGATCCGAATGTTTGCCATCTAAACAAATGTTTTCTAACCATTTTATTTTCTGCTAATCTGTGGATGTTGTAGGTAAAATACAGTAAAAATAAATCAGCTTTGAAAGGAGAGAAACACGTTTCTCATCACCTTTAGACACCTGTTTTGTGGAATCTTATTTTATAATATTAAATACTATAACATTTTTGAGCAATGTTTAATTAAAGCAAAACTTAATGTTTAATTATTGTTGCTCTGATTCCAAAGGTGCATAGTTTTAGCTGGGAAACTTGCTTTTTTCTGGCTCATCCAGTGGTTTAGGTCATTGTTACGTTCTCTTCTTTACTTTTTTCTTTAAGATAACATTTTTTTTTTTTATTCTTATTTGTTATCCAGGGAAAATGTAAGTATGTTTTTTACTTCCTGATCAACTTAAAATAGTGTTCTTTAGTTTCATGTATTTAAATAATAAGAATGGGTGATTTAAGTAAAAAGAAAACAAACCAAAATATCACATCTTAACTACCCTCTTAGTTAACACCCTTAAACAAATGAAAGTCATTTTTTTATTTCCTAAAATCTTTTAGGTTATCCCTCACCATTAAAAAAAAATTTACTGTCAAGATGTTTTAAACACATCTTTACCAGTAGGTTCCATTTACAGTGGTATTATTCCCTGTACAAAGAAAGAAAAAAAGAAACATCTCATAAGCTGTATCTGTCGTCTAATTCATGCAATACAATTAAAATGGATGAAAATATAAAATACCTGCAAGAAATTGTTCTTTAAATAGCTTTCGGATAAATTCAGTTTATCCTGGGATCTGAAGCTAAGGCTTCATCTAAACAGGGAAGACCCTGAAGCAGAGTGCTGTTAACTCATCTCCATTCATATTGCAACATATATATATATATATATATATATAAACATGTTGCAATATGAATGTATTGAAACCTACCGTCCTGCATTTTAACCCTAACTTAAGATTTCACATCTTTTCTCTCCTCACAGCCCTTAGAAATGAACTCAGTCGAGTTAGCACGACATAATCTTTAAGACCCGGACGGCTTTTTTTTCCAAAACCAATGCCCCTTTAGCCGCTGCTGAGGCCCTGAAGACAAGGAGGAGGAAAAGTCAGGAACCGAGGCCCAAACTGTGACATCTACTCATCGTTTTTCAGCTGTGGTGTTGAAGCAACGCGGCACCCGTTACTGTAACACCTCCGACGTGTCTGTGTAACATTTGGTTTGTTTGTTTGGACAAAAAGACCTGAACGGGCCACTTTCTCGCACTGATTACTCTGTTTTATTAACAATTTTCGTCTGTTTGTCCGCCCACCTCTTCCCTCTGCCTTTGACCCCAAAGGAAATTCACGAAATCTAAACTTATTTTTATTTCTTTTTTTTCTTGGAGTTTATTTGAATATGTTTTGTTAATATAATTTTGTATTATTACTATCATATAATAACTGGCAGAAATGAGGTGCTTTTAAACACCTGCAACAATGGAGAATTTTTGATGGTAATATACATGATAGTAATGATAATGTTTTATTGAGCGTCAGTGTAAAGCATTTTTTATTTCATATGGTGTTTATTTAGTTTTGTTTGAGAAATGTTTACTAGCAGTTCCCATTTTCTGCTTTCATTCCCGGAATTTAAACATGTTGTTTATCCTTTTCGCCAATAGAAATACATTTGGAACCACAGCAGAAGCTGAAAAAAAGAATAGAAAAATAGGCTTCAACATGAAACCTATAAACTTCTTTTATAATGCAATCTTCTAAGGTAAAAATGAAAGAAAAAAAAAAAAGAAAAACAAAACACCAGATTTAAACACCAGAGTATTTGTGATCACGTTGTTAATAAAAAATGTTTATTGGCTGCAAGGATATGGTGCAGTGTTGTTCATTTTCTTGTCTCCCCTTCTAACAAAGTGCTTCCTGGTTTGACAGGGGTGGGGGGAAGAAACACAATGAGTTTCAAATGAATTAAAATAAAACTGTGAACAATGTCTTGGATAAATATAGGTGTCTCGTTTCGTTTTTTTTTTTTTTTTTTGTCCATCTTACAGAACAAGAAAGCAAAATTACAAAAGTGCAACCAGAGGCGTATCCAGAAAATTTTAATGATGGTGGTCAGTCAAAAACCAATGTACACTGAGGGGTGGCCGAAAACAGATCTTCTCTGGATCAGTCAGGTGTCTGGGCTGTCACTCAGAAACACAGAGTTTAAGCTCCCTCCAAAGACACACTTTATCATACAAATGAATAGTAACAAATTCATACACTGTGATTTCTGGATTTGATTAAATGTAAATGCATATAAGCATTAAACAGTTTGATACCTCACTTTTTTGCCTCATAAGATGCTACATCTCACAACTGTAAAATTTCTAATTGGGAAACTTGTGAAAGTATCAACACAGTTACCATAGTTGGAAGTTTTAATAAAACTAGGCTGACTTAATGGAACAAGAAAACTAAAAATGGTACCTCATAAAACTTATATGTCAGTCACAACATACAGCAGAAAAGATAAAGCAATAGAAGGAGAGTCAAATTTACGCCTCAGACTGGGACATTTTCTCTTCTTTACATGCAGTGCAGAATGGAGGGCCAAAAGTAACATCGTAGTATACAAGAAATAAATAACAGGTATATCAATTTAAACTATTGTGTCTTTTATTCTAGTTCCATATCGACATTGTTAAGCAAAACATTTGTTGAAATTTATTTTTAAAGGATGAGTAGTTCATTTCAACATTTATTTAATAATTTTATGAAGTAAATATGGTTGCTGTGTACTTAACTGTCTCAAGGCTAAAGTTAAAGGTTCTAAAATCTGATTGGTTAAAGTTTTAGTCCCACTCACTGACTTTAAGGAGTTACGTTTGAGCTTTTTCACAAAATGAAAAACATTTTAAATAACTCTCTTTTTAATTTATTTCATTCAATTACTTATTTATATGTTTATGCTTTCTCTATTTCATTATTTAATCATACATTCAATTAACCAAAAAAATTAAAATTTTTTCTAATTTCTTTTTTTTGTGACACTTTAGATCCTGAAAGATAAAGGTTGGGTGTGGGGGGGGAACTATGAGGTGAATGGTCAGACGTTAACTTGTCCTACAGATAAACAAGTCTGGTGTTAAAGTTTGTTTGATGAGCGACAGTGATCGTTTAAATTATAGCAATGTGCATTGCAGCACCCAACACAGAAAAAAAAACTTTAAAAAATAGAGTAAATCCCATTATTTAAATCCTTTCTTATTTTTATTTTATGAATAATGAATACATCAATATAATAGTGTCTGATTTGTAAAGATGTTTACATATATTATGTTTTTAATTATTTATGTTTTTCAATTTCTTAGCACCTATAGTGTTCTGTATTCCTTGCAAGGAAAGCATGAAAAATGTATGCAAATTAGTTCTGAATGCACAGTTCGTTTCAATATGTCTATGCTTTGTGAATAAAACACATGATTTTTATTGGTATTCCAAAGAATAAACTGGTAATATTTAAACAAATTTAAATTAAAAATAATTCCAGACATAGTGGGCATTCTGAAAAGTTAAACATATAAAAAGTTAATGGGATACACATTTAATGATAAGTTAGGCAATTGTAATAAAAGACATTTTATAAAGTTTAGGAAGCTATGGAAAAAGTTAAAATATTAAATCCAGAGGATTTGGAATCTCCCATACCAAAGCAAAACCGTTCTCGTTTGGACAACGAAATCTCGCGATGATTGCTATGACAGAGCATAGTGGCGACGAGAACTGGCTTGTAACGGAGTGGAGAGTTGTTATCGAAGAACAGGGGGAAGAGACGGAGGCAGCCGCGGACCGAGGGGGTGTGTGAGCGAGTGTTTATGAGGTCCAAACACAAGGAGCACAAAAAGGCGTGAATGAGACAGTCAAACTGGCGGATTTCAACATGGCATCCGGAGATACTCTGTACATTGAGACAGACGGCTCGGAGATGCCGGCCGAGATCGTGGAGCTGCACGAAATAGAAGTAGAAACGATACCGGTGGAGACTATCGAGACCACGGTGGTCGGCGGGGATGACGACGATGACGACGGGCAGCCCATGATCGCGCTGCAACCGCTGGTCACAGACGACCCCAGCTCGATCCACCACCATTCGGAGGTTATCCTGGTCCAGACCCGAGAGGAGGTGGTCGGCGGCGACGATTCGGACCTGCACACGGACGGCGGGGGCGGATTCGAGGATCAGATCCTCATCCCGGTACCGGCTCCGGGGGTCGAGGATGAATACATCGAGCAGACTTTAGTGACTGTGGCTGGGAAGAGCTCAGTGGGTCGGGTGAAGCGAGGAGGAGGCACTGGTGGAAAGAAAGCAGGCAAAAAGAGCTATTTAAGTGGCGCCGAGGCTGGGGGGAGAAAATGGGAACAGAAGCAGGTGCAAATAAAGACTCTAGAGGGAGAATTTTCTGTTACAATGTGGGCATCGGGTGAGTAACTTTAGCCTAACTGTGTGTGTAAGCTCCATTGCAATGAGGCCTCGTTACCAGGGCGTTGTCCTGCTGCACCAGACTATTTCCTGGAGTGTTCACTCGCGTCGTTGTGAAAAGCAGCGTTTAATCTGGTTTTTCGATGAAAAACCAACCTATAGCATATGGAAATGTTTTTGTTTTGAAGGGAGGCCATGTTTTAAGTGTTGCTGGGCGCCGCCATATTCCCCGAGACTCGTAAGTATGGCGGCGGCCCCGAAAAGATGGCGATAGACGCGGCCGGGCAGAGATGGCGGCCGTGCTGCTGGACTGGAGAGAGCTGGCTCCGACAGGACTGCAGGCCTCAAAGCTTTGGCGCACTTTATCAGCACTTATAGCCGCTGGGCCCTCGGGGGCGACTATTAGCAGGGATTTAGGCTTTATAACGATGATTTTCTTGTAATTAAGTGCTATGCATTCGGTATATTATATTAGCCGTTAGCCCTGCGTGGTTACTATTGCTGACAGTTCTTTAAAAGCAACGTTTTGCTAAGCTACACGGCTATCAGTTAATAATTAGTCACCTTTTATAAAAGCAGCTTTAAGAAAACACTCTAGAGCTTCAATTTAATACATTCATTAATTATTTCAAAAAAGTTCCCTAGCCTAGTTATCTTCTTAATGCGCTACTCTATTTTTAGTGCTCTCTGCTGGATGCTGAAGAGTACTATTAACAAATTTTTCCCACTTAATGGTGTGTTTAAGATTTAAAAGGTAATTTACTTCGCTGAAATTGTGAGTTTTTATTTTAGTAAATTTATTTTCACAGATTCAAACACCTATAAAGTATTTTTAGGGGCAATATTTAAATGAGTATTTTAAAATTACAGTGCTTTTGCATTTATTTTTGTTGTCAATCTGTTTATTCATATCGTTAATCAAATCACTAATGAAAAATTACAATCTTAATCTCATTTAACTTTCATTTAATCTGTTTTGTATTGTTTAAAAAAAAAACATTCATTTAAATACCATGATGAAATTCAGTCGTAGTTCAGTCATGATTTAAAAATAACTTACAAGTAAGCATTTGCACAAGATTATACAAATTGTTGCTTAAAATAAAACAGCTATTTAGTGATTACTCCAGCTGGGTGGAAATGGTAAATGTATTCATGTTATTCAGTAATTATGCTGAGCTGAAGTGCTTGTTAACATAATCAGGTGGCCTGGATGCTGCAGCAGATGTTTTCTAACTCCCGGGGCTCGTAGGCAGGGTCCCACCAATATGTTATCGGTTCAGTCTCTGTAATGTCTTCCTAGATGACAATAAAGACATTGACCATGAGTCAGTGGTGGAGGAGCAGATCGTCGGGGAGAACTCTCCTCCGGATTACTCCGAGTACATGACGGGGAAGAAGCTGCCCCCTGGTGGCATCCCGGGGATCGACCTCTCAGACCCCAAACAGCTGGCTGAATTTGCCAGGTGAGTGTTTCTGCTTCAGCGCCTCCCAGCGGCAAACAGGCGTGTTTACACTGTCAACACAGACCCACTGAGGGCTTTCTGGTGCTTTTTGAAAGGTCAAAATATGCATTTTTACCATGGTGACGTTTGGATTGTTTCCTACTTTCCTTAACATGTTATGTTTTTTATGAAGGATGAACAAACTCTGTTTAGTGAAATCAATAATGCCCTGTGTGGTATGCAAAATATTATTTTTAGTTATTATATATATATATATATATGTATATATACTAAAAACGATATTTTGCACTTTACACAGAATTAGGCAAAATGATATTTTTCGTCTGTTGTCCCTGGACAGATCTTAAAATTGTCTACCTAATTTGACTTCACCATGTATTATCAACCCTTATTTATTATTTAAGTATAGATACTAGCTTATTGGTGTTCCTGAACATACAATTTTTTTTTTTAGATCTGAAATGCAGATGTTACAGGGTTTAAATTAAATGTCTTGTGAAGTTGTTAGTTGTTGTTTTTTGTTGTTAGAGAATAGCATAGAAAGCATAAAAAGTTGGCGATTTTATTGTAATAAGCTCTGTCTTCTTGTAATTATATCCAGAAACCTTAGCTTTAGTGGTCCTGGAAGGTTCTAGAAGTATCCCGTTTATTTGTCAGTAGATTTTAACTTGTGTACCATTTTCAACCTTCCTCCAGGCATGAGTTGTAGGTTACAGAGCTCTAGCATTTACCCTGCTCCCCAGTTTGTTGGACCAGTTCCTCCAGGATCACAGCACAGTCTGGATATGCATTGATGGTTTTTATTATTGTCCATTAATATGGTAGAGGGTTAAAATGTTAAATATTTCACGCTAATTTTTACCTTGATAACATTTTTGTTTAAATTTTGTTTGTCCTACCTTGATCAGAATAAGGTTTTCAAGTTAATACGACATTAAAGCTCAATGGACCCCTGGTTCATATTCAAATGAAAGTGACATTTCTCAGTCTCCTAGAAAATAGTAAATTTGGACCTGATTTAACTGAAAAATAACAATTTAAAACTACTTTAAAATAGTTGTTAAATATCCAACTTAATTTAGTGTAATGTAACTCAGTGCACATTTGAAAAGCCCACGTCTTGCAACTTCAACTCTCCCAGAGACTGCAGGAGAGCAGAAATATGAGGCTACGAAACTATAGGATTTCTCACAGCAAAACGCTTAAACATGTCAGAACATACCAGCATTATACAGTGTAATTACTTTACAAGATAAAATCAAGAAGGAATTGAAAAGGGAAAGGAAAGGCTCAGCTAAATTTTTGTTTTTGCAAAAAAGAGGCAGCTAAAGGCAAACTATAAGTAACTCGTCAAATATGGATAAAACGGCACGTTTATTGTAAAACGAGCTGAGGCAGCAGCAGCCTAACAAACAATAGAAAGTTTGGTCTGTCTAAATACAGGCTGCTGACTGAGGTTTAGATCTATGAACTCATAAATGTACAGAATTTGCTGGAATGCTTTTCCTTTAGATCTTTCCTGAATTGCTCCCATTAGCTACCGGCATCATCTTTGGTTCCTCAGCTGAAACAGTGACGCTTGCGGTTGACTTTGAAGTGGAGATGCAGCAAACAAGCTCTCCCGACCAATCACGGCTTCTGATTTTCCTACCTTCTGATTCTGATTTTGAACGACTCTGAGGATTTATTTTCTGACATGAAGGAGATTTTTTTTAAAAGGACTGTGGGTTCTTTAATTGAGGGAGTAGTTTTGAAATCAGCATAAGGAATGGAAATTATCTTTTATACATTAAAGGGTCTATTTTTGTCCTTGGTCTGACTTTGTTTGTGGTGCTGAACAGATGGAGCTGATTTAGAGAAAAAAGGGACAGTTTTTAATTTTGCCAATAGATTTCTTAAACAGAATGCCTTTTGTTTATTTTTGAATGCCTCTAATCATGTATGTCCCTTCCCCCCCCCTTCCGCCCATTAGAATGAAGCCCAGAAAGGTTAAAGAAGATGATGCTCCTCGGACGATAGCCTGTCCTCATAAAGTGAGTCTAAAGTTCCTGCATCTCACCGAAACTCTTATCAAAACAAAATTTGCTGTTTGCACAAGTTTAATGCTTCCGTTTGTTGTTTTGTCTCTCCTGTTTTATTTTTTAATAAAGGTTTTTCAAAAGCATTGATAGCACTTGAGTGCTCTGATGCACAATTTCAATCAGCTTTTATGTGGAGCCGTTAATGTAAATGGTTTTCTTTGCTCTGCGAGCAGCCTGCTCTTTTAGTTTGGCTGTTAACAGAGCATCACCACTTCAGTGTGGTATAGATCTGTTGTTCTACGCTTTTCAGAGCCTCTTTCCAAAAGCTCTACAAAACGCTGAGAGCACTTGTCGCTGACATTTGTATGAAAGGGAAACATAACCCCCTGACGCATCAATAGAATATCGACATCCTCTCTGCAGCGAACCTCCCATTATTTGTTTGTCAACTCTGCGCCGTGCTTCATTTGATTTCCCCCCCAGGGCTGCACAAAGATGTTCAGGGATAACTCGGCAATGAGGAAGCATCTGCATACCCACGGACCTCGTGTTCATGTCTGCGCAGAGTGCGGCAAGGCTTTCGTCGAGAGCTCCAAGCTCAAACGCCACCAGCTCGTTCACACGGGGGAGAAACCCTTCCAGGTCGGCATTAGGGCTTGTTTATTGCCTTACCTTGCTCTCCTTCTTCATGCTTTTATCTACAGTCTCACATTGGATTTGCATGATGACTCTTAGAAGTTTTTCCCTGTTTTATAACAAATCATTATTCATGATTTCTTTTTCCTTTTTTGTTTTGTTTCCTTATATCAACAAAGACTTTTTAAGTGATCAAACTGCCAATTAAATATTTAAAAACCTAAAAAGGTTTGGTAGGAACTGTGACTTTAAGCATTTTCTCCAATGTCTGTTCTACAGCATAGGAATATCGGTATCTATAAAAAAAAATGCACAAAACTAATTTGTTGCTGTTTAGTGCTCTAATCACATTACTTAATGTTGAAATGGCCCATGCATTCATTTTGTTCTTTTCAGCCTTTGCAGTGAGGATTATAATCAATCATATGATGTTCAATACTTGCTTTCTTTTACAAACATTTCATTAAACAGACTAAAATTAAATAAACTAATAATTCAATATCACCCATCTATAGTTCTATCTGCAAACTGCATCTTTATACTTGATTTTGTTCAGTCACTATAAGCAGAATAGAGCAGTTAAAGCACTTTGCAGGCAATTGTATGGATATAAACTTAATTGAATTTATTGATCTCACAGTGCAGAAAAAAAAAAAAAAAAAAATATATATATATATATATATATTACAGCTGAAGTCTCTTAACAGGATTATTGCAGTGGGTTTTTGATCAGGGTATTAAATGGGTATTTATATTTATATAGTTATTGCACTGGATATTAAATATGAAGCAGGTTATTAGAAAGGGTATTAAATAGTCATTGAACATTGTTTTATTTTATTTTTTTTTTAAGCATATTCACATTGATTTAAACCATTCCACTATGATTGCTGCTGGTTGTTTCTATCCCTAATTTAGCTATTCCTGACAATGATACCTTAAAGATTGCATTTGTCTTTGAAAACAAAACAAGGACTCTGTTTTTTCTTGAGGTTAATAAGAGGTTTTTTATTTTTTTTCTTCCAGTGTACCTTTGAAGGCTGCGGGAAAAGGTTTTCTCTAGACTTCAACCTGCGCACACATGTGAGGATCCACACCGGGGACCGACCCTACGTGTGCCCCTTCGACGGCTGCAATAAGAAATTTGCCCAGTCGACCAACCTCAAGTCTCACATTCTCACACACGCAAAAGCCAAAAACAACCAGTGAGAGCCCCTTCGTCAGCGTCCAGTTGCCCAGGCGGGGGGAAAAAACAACCTTTAGAAGATGTGATGACAACCCTTGAGACTTTAATGATTTATAAAACAAACAAAAAGAAAAAAACATGGAAAAAGTCTGACAGTTTAAAAGACATAAAACACTGAAACTTTGTTTGTTGTTTCCTCCTCACCTAAAGCCCTTTTTTCCCTGCTGGCATGTTGGAAGAGGAACCTGGTGCAGACCCTACCCCCTACCTGCACCACTTCATTGCTCTATTGGCACTTTGTTACCAGAAGATGGAACCCAAGGGCAAAAATCAGAGATTTATTTTTACCTGAGAAGTCAGAGAAACTGCGGTATATATTAGTACTTTTATTTTGTTGTTTTAATTTCCCTCCAAGTGTGCATATTGTACACTGTTCTCAGGCTGTGTTAAGTCAAACAGTTTTTCCTCTTTTATTTTCCTACATTTTAAGACCCCACCTATGACCTAAAAAAGGCCGCAGCCTTGTTCCACCTGATACACACCTAGGAGGAGTTTAAAACCCAACTGTATGTTTGCATTTCCACACCGTCTTTGGTTGTACTTTTCTCTAACCACAAAATAACCTTGTATACTTGTATTGTATGGCTGTATTAAGATTAAGTAGACATAGGTAGAGGTGTGATTTAAAGTGTTAACCAATTAAACTTTTAGTCAACGAGTTTCTTTATATTTTATATAAACTGTCTTAACACAGATGAATGAGTAATATAATCATACTCGGCGGCGGTCACAGTTAAAGGGGTCTGACGTGTAGGTGGAAAAGACTGCGAGAGCATCACTTCTTTGTTAGAATGTAATGTACAGATGTCAACCATTATCTTCCTTTTGTTGGTATTTACATCCATGTATTTCAACAGCCCACAATAAAATGGGTCATTCCAACTCTGTCAAACTACTCTGTTTTTCTCTGGTTTTATTTCTGGGAAGGTCTCTGTAGGAAGATTATGTTGGTTACCAACTATGATTACATTGTGTGCAAAAATATATCACATATTTAGTTCTTGATTAATGTTTATATATATATTGGAGGGGGACTCAAATGCACATTTACACTAAAGGATCAGCTTTCCTTTCTTGTATCAGCAAACAATTGGTGTTATTTTGATTGAGGAACAAGTAAATTGGGTCTTTAGCGGATGCTATCTTTCATCACTCGGTTTAATTTACATGTTTTTAGTCTGCATGCTATAAAATCCTTTCTGGGAAAATTTCGACATCCAGCAGAGCTTTCCAAGTTAGTTGGACAAAGAGACACCTAGTGCCCGCCTACCAAAGTTTGGTCTTAGCCAATCAGGAGGTCTTTGCCTTCCAAAAATGCATTTTTGATCTCTTCTTGCAAAAATGAACAGCAGCAGGTACATATGCGTCCTGTGCTGCTTCAGCTATTTTGGTTCGGCTTTGGGCTGTATGCTCCGTTTTAAACTATTTAACAGTCATGTAATCTTTATGGCACTATTCAAATATTGACGGTATAATATCAATTTGTTTAACTATAATAATTATCTTAAAATCATAGTAGTACTGTCCTCCATGGCCCTATGATGCAATCTAAGGTTCACCCGTTTACCTTTAGAAGGTCCTGGTATTTCAAACCCCCATGATCCCCTGCACTTTAAGAAGGCTCCCTTGGATGATGGAACTATAGCATCACACATCCCAAGCTATATCCAACAGTAAATAGTGGGATGCTCTTTCTACCTCCTTTGTATTGTAATTCTTTCAACAGGTAATGTTTACTTGAGTGATGATTCAATAAAAAAAAAAACACTTAAATAATTACAAAGGGGAAATAAAATTTTGCAGCAACTCCTTCCTGTTTAGAAATATCAACACCTACAGCTGGTTAAAAAAAAATTAAATACAAAATGAGTTATTGCAGCTTTTAATTTCCCTTTGGGAGAAATAAAGTGTTTTGAATTGAAACTCACTGGCAGTTTTTGAAAGAGTTGCAGGTGTTGATAGTTATAGGCAGGAGGATCTTCTGTAGCTGTCTGTCTTGCACTGGATCTGGAGAAGCCTCTTACTGGAGACACACTGCTGCTGTTTAACAATCTTCTGAAGAAGGTGCTAATTGCTGTCCATAATATTCTTCGCTTTATGTAGAATTATTCTTTGTAAAAAAAAAAACAATTCTCCTGCAGTTCCAGCTGTTCCTGAACTGAACCAATTTAAGAATTAATACTGTTAATTGGCTGTCTCCAGACTTCCATCTGTCTGATCCTCCTGCTTGAAGCATGTGTTCCTCCTTATCCCTGACCACATATCTCTGATATTGTTCTGTTAGAATTTGCTTTCCAGCCTCTTCCTATAGCCACATTGCTTTCTCTTATATTGACCTTAAGTTACTTCTTAATACTCCTCATTAATTCCACATTTTCCCTTTTTGAAGGCTTTTTTTTCTTGTTAAGCAGTCCCTTCAGATAAGTTGTGATCCAGAGTTTACTATTTGAGAAGCATTCAAATACTATGGTGGTTACAGTGTTATCCATAGAAGGTTATGTAAGTATATATGCTGTACGCCTGAAAAAAACAAAATGTAATTTTATCTAAATGTAATTAGTAATAAAGTGACATTAAACGTCTAAAATTGAATAGGATAACAGGCCGCACATCTCCATAATAGGCTGAGGATCCTTCGAAATCCATCTGCAGGTACAGTTTTCCTAATGCTTCTTTAGGTTTCGTGTCTATTCTGTTTGCAGAATGGAACACACATCTGCTCAAGGGACAGCTGAAAGTACAAGAAAACTAACAAAAATGAGAGTCCCCCATACTGAGGACATTTTATATTATTACAATACCAGCAGTTTATTGTAAAGGTAGTTACGTTAAATGTAGAGATGTAAGAGAAAAGCTAAAATAGTTTTGAAAATGCAAGCATGTTCAGTATGAAGGTTAAAATTGAAATTGGGACACCTCAGTAAAACTCTGTTTAGGGCCCTAGAAGAGCCGGCTCTGGTCTGCATTAGAATCACAATGAAGCTTTAGGCCAGAGCACACAGAACCACATATAAACCTTTCGCAGAACAAATATGGACCATTAAAGCTAAGTTTAAAATCATCACGGTGTTGTTTTGAGAAACAAAATCCAGTGGTGGGCGAAAAGAGACTCCCTCCTGAGTTTCAGCAGGTGGTGCAGAACCGGCTGTGTGAGAATCAAGTAAATATCAGAAAACCCCTGATGAAAATGTCACACAGTAAGTCTAGAGTAGAAAAATTAAAGCCAGGAGGCTGATTAAAAAACACATAAAGCATCATTTGAAATCTCCAGGTTTGCATCCTGAACATGTGCATATAAAGCCATTAGAAAACAAGTTGAATTCATCCTCACTGGGTAAAAACAGGTTTGCAGCTGAGTTTAAAAAAAAGCTGACAATTTTCAAAGTTCAATCTTATCGCTTCTTATCAACAACAGATGTTATTAGCGAGAACAGAAAACCACAAGACACCTTGCATCAGTATATTTCATTTCAGGATCAAACTAAACTAAATCTCACCGACCACAAGGACAGCTTGTGTCAGTTTTAATTCGTTTTGAGCTCAGGATCACCTCCTAAAAGCTGTTTCCCTTCAGGAGGATTTCCGTCCACCTCTCCTGGGGCTCCACTGGCACTTTCTGACTCTCCGTAAGTCCATTCCCCTTTTTCTGCACAGCCAGCAGGATTAGCACAATTGGCTATGTCAGCGTCCCGCTAAGATCCTGCTCTTTGCCCCCCCCTCACTTCTACAGGCTCCAAACAGCAGTGCCAGTGCTATCCATGGTGCTGATCTCCAGCCATTCAGTCACCAACTCTGCTTATTTCAAAGTAAAAATGCTGTGCTTTTAAAAAATATTCATACCTCTAAAACAATTTCACATTCACATCTTAAGATGTTTAATGGAATATTTAAGTAAAAGATCTAAATAGATTTGTTTATTATAGTATGTATAAATAAACTTGCGTCAAACTAACTGCCATAAAAGGTTAGCCAAAAAGTAATGATATGTTTATATATTATCTCAGTAGGTAAACATACCAAGGAACACAGCAGAGAAGTCCGGGAAGTGTTCCCGGAAGTGGTTGTGAATGCATTTGGGTCAGCTTAGGATTTTCAGACAATGTTTTAAGCTTTGAATATATGCTGGAACACTATTTATCCCGCATAAATTACCAGGATACCACCGTGTACCTGAGCTGTTAGGTTAGATATGGTATCCATTTAGGCACAAACATGTGGAGCAAGCTCCGGTTGGGTTACATCAGAAAACATTTTTTAAAACTGGATGTAAAACATTGTCTGGCAGTAAGTTAACTACCCTGAACACGCCATCCCCATGATGAAATGTGGTGTTGGCAGCATCATGCTGTGGGAATAATTTGCTTCAGAATGAGCAGGGGAGTTCAGCTGAAAAATCTCTAATGCAATGCGGCATTGTTCTTAAAATGTACAATGTTTAGACTGTGATGAGACAAAACGTGTAAATACTTTAAAAAAGCTAAAACTGTTAGCTCTCGGTGGTATTCAGAGTTTTGTCCTGAGCCTTTCTTTATTAGAAAACTCCTGTCGTCCCGGTCTGCCAGTTGAGGAAATCAACAAATTTCACCTCCTTGCATTCTTGATGCGTCATTGGCCTTTTTAGCCTTGGAGTTGGAGCTTGATGCACCTGCTTTAAATTCACAACCAAGCTCAGTTTCTTTTCTCCCTCTTCTCTACCTGGGAGTTACTTTGACTGGAGTGACGTTCAAGCCTCCCCCTCCCCCCCTCTTGTTTTTGTTCGCGAGTGAGAAAGCAAGTCAGGGTATGTAAAGCTGATTCCTCTTGGGGATATCTGTCTCTTCTTCTCCCCTTCTTCTGAGGGAGCATTTATTTACAGCACTGGATGTTTTGATTGACAAAAGCAGGGGGAGAAGAGTGAATGCGCTACTTGTTATGCAGCTGAAGTCTGTCAAGCCTTCAACACCTGCTCTCTTTCAGATGCTTATTTCATTACAGCTTCTTCTCCTAGGGGTTCAAACCCT